TCCGAAACGGTCGAGATTGTTTTTTTATCTCTCACGAAAGCGCAGCCAGCTCTCGAGACAGACCCACGCGCTCGTGCGCAGCGCTCGCAGACTTGCCCGCCGGCCGTGTGCCGGTAGATACATCACACCCCTTCCTCCTTAGACGTGGGCACCGTATCTGTCCGGTGGTCGACGCGCCCGGGAGCTCACCCGCTTCGCGGTTGACAGGGCAGATTCCACTGTTGGTAATGGGCGAACGTCGTCGTCTGTGCTGTGCTGCTTAGTTGTTTGTTCTGGACCATTCGCGCCCGAATGTGTGCCCTGGCAATCGTGTAAGCACATGTCCCAAACTGGTGGTGGCGGCTGTGTCTCCCAGCAGCTCGAATTCGGAGCTCGATGACGAATATGTTATAGATGTCGTCTGACTTGACCTTGCTCTGTGTCAACCATCCAGGATCGTGGTCCGGCGCGGCGTGCGATGGACCCCGCATCCACTTTCGCTCGTTTGGGAACTGTCGAATCCACACGGGTTGTCCACGAGTAAATTTGTGGATATCGCTGTTTTCTTCAGGCAACTGCTTGAAGAGGGATGACTTGAGTCGATCCAGTGCAGAAGGAAATTCTCGGTTGTACGTCATCCACGCAGGAGTCTTGCCCGTTGTTGCGTGCACTGTCGTGTGTTGCTTGAATAGGAAACGTGACAACACGCACGACAGGTCTTCCCTTCCTTTTTTAGATACAGCTTGTTTGAGCTCCTGTACCATCCGCTCAGCCTGCCCGTTGGTTGCCGGGTGGTAAGGTGCGCTCGTGACTGCGGTGATGTTGTTCATGCGGTAAAACGTCGCAATTTCTTCCGAGATGAACGCAGCCCCGTTGTCTGAACAAACCTTCTTTGGCACTCCAAATGTGGCGAATAATCCCCGCAGCTCCTTGATTACAGCGCTTGATGCCATGCTGCTAACTACTCGCACCTCCAGCCACTTGGTGCATGCGTCTACAACGACCAGAAATACTTTCCCTTCCACTGGACCCGCAAAGTCCATGTGAAGCGTATCCCAGGCTGTTGATGGTCGTTCCCGATTTGTCATCGGTACTTTTATTTTGGTTTTCTGGTTTGTTTGACATTGGGCACATTCCGCCACACATAATTCAATATCTTTGTCAATTCCTGGCCACCACATGCAACTTCTGGCACAGGCTTTCATGGCCACGATTCCACGATGTCCTGAATGTACAAGAGTCAAGGACTCAGGCCGCAGAGACGCTGGTATCACAACACGTGATCCCCATATCAAACATCCTCGCTGTGTCGCTAGTTCAGTGTCCTTGTTCCTGAATGGTTGAAAGATGTCTTCCTTAAGGTTCCTGAAATTTCCACTCTGAACTGCGTCGTACACACGGGAAAGAGTAGCGGCTTCTTTTGTCTTGTCTGCTAGTTTCTCGACAGTAATCGGTGGCCTGGTCAACGCTTCCAGCATGAGCACATCTCCGGGAGGCTGTGACTCGTCGTCGCTTGCCGGTAAAGGTAGTCTGCTCAAAGCGTCTGCATTCTGATTCCGTTTTCCTGGTCGGTAGACAAGATCGTAGTTATAGGCCGTGAGCTTAACGCATCACCTTTTCATGCGTGTCGAAAGAATGGGCGGAACCGGACTTTGTGGACCTAGAATTCCCAGTAGTGGTGGATGATCCGTTGTGATGGTAACATGTCGACCGGAAATGTAGCGGTGGAACCTGCTTGTAGCGTAAACTATAGCTAAACCCTCCTTGTCCAACTGGGGGTAGTTTTCCTCGGCCTTTCCCAATGTTCTAGAAATGAAAGCTACGGGAGACTCGTTTCCGTCTTTGTCCAGGTGCGCCAGTACCGCACCGATGCCGTATGGTGATGCGTCACACGACAATACCAGCGGCTTATTGTCGTCATAATGAGCTAGAACTGTAGGTTCCGCGATGGCTTCTTTTAGTTGCAGAAACGCCTGCTGATGTCGTGCACCCCACTGCCACGGAGCGCCTTTCTCAAGTAGCATGTACAGCACCTTGACTATTGATGCTCGGTTCTGAATGAAGCGGTCATAAAATGCCAGGAGTCCTAGAAAAGACTTAAGCATGGCCCGGCTGGTCGGTTCCGGCATCTCTTTGATTGCTCTCAGTTTTTCTTCTGTTGTGTGTACTCCCGTTCCATTTATCTTATGTCCCAGAAACTTCACTTCTTCGACACCGAAATGGCACTTTGACCTTTTTAAGCGAAGCCCGGCGTTCACCAACCTGCTCAAAAGTGCCTCGAGACGCTCAAGGTGCTCTGTTTTTGTGGTTCCGCTGATAATAACATCATCCAGGTAGACTCTCACGCCGGGTAGTCCTGCCAGGATTGTCTCCATGTAGCGCTGGAAAATCGCTGGTGCAGCCGGAATTCCAAAAGGCATTCGTTTAACCCTATATAGTCCCTTGATGGTGTTAATGGTGAGCACGTCTGCTGTCTCTGCTGTCACGTGGCGCTGTTGATATGCCTGAGTGAGATCCAGCGTCGAAAATATGGTGCCTCCCTGCACACTTGCCAGAAGGTCCGTTACCGTTGGCATTGGATACACCGTTGGTTTTGCAGCCGCGTTCACCGTGCTCCTATAGTCTCCGCACATCCGTATAGTGCCGTCCTTCTTTCGTACGATCACCACCGGTGTTGCCCAGTCGGAGTGCTGCGTCGGCTCGATTATGCCTCGGTTTTGGAGCATCCGCAGTTCTGCCTCCACTGCGGTTCGCATTGCGAAAGGAACCGGTCGAGCCTTTAAAAAGCGCGGTGTCGCATCTTCCTTCAGCTCCAGATGTACCGCGTGGCCCTTGTGCCCGTTTATCTCTGGATCAAAAACTTCCTCGTGTGTCAGCAACACGTCATGAAGGGTCTTGCCCTGGTCAAGCTGGTATGTCCCACTGACTCTGATATTGAGTGCCGGGAACCAGTTTCTTCCAAGCAGATTGCAGCCCGAACCTGAGGCCACGATTAGCGGGAGCAGATAGTCTTTTGACTTGTGTCGGACGCGCACTTCTGCCGACCCGAGAACTTGCAGTTGTTTTCCTGCCCATGGTCGGAGCGTGATATGTTCTTTGTTCAGTGAAAAGGCATTCTTTGGCCAGGTTTTCCTGTATGTGTCTTCACTGATTATGGAACACGCAGCTCCGGTGTCCACTTCGAACTCCATGGGTCGTCCTTCGACTTTGAGTGAGACCATATACTTCTTCACCGACGTGGTATAATTTACGCTGTTCAGCTCGTATAGGTCTTGGGTATCCTCGTCATCACTCGAAGGTGCCGACTCATTATGACTAACCGCGTGTGTTGATCGCCGCCGTTGATTTGTTTCAGTCTTCTGGTAACACGCCCTTTCAATGTGTCCGGTCCTTCGGCAAAAATTGCAGCGTGCCGTGCGGAATCTGCAAGTAGCTGCGACGTGTTGTTCCTGACAGCGATGGCATCGTTGTTCACTTGATACGAAGTCCTGTTTCTTTTGCTTGCCTAGGTTCCGGTTTTCACGTACTGTTGATTTTTGACCCTTGGTTACGGCGTTAATTGTGGTCTTTTGAGCTTTGACGTCTTTTTGCTGTCTTGCAGCACTTTCTGCTCTCAATGCGAAATCACGGCCTTCTGGAATGTTAGGTCCGGCTCTGCAAATAGTCTTTGCTGAAGGTGTTCGTCCGCAATCCCACATACGAACCTATCCCGGAGCATCACCTCCAGTGGTAGCATTATTGTGGACGATGCGGTGACCGGCTCATCGCCGCTCGCACTGGTGCCGGTGCTGGTGCTGGCGCTGGTGTTGGCTGTTGCGGTTGTCGGAACTCCAAAGTTGCAATCGACGGCGAGCTTCCTTCGTGCCGCAACATAATCGCTGATGGACTCGCCTGTCTCCTGGTCCCTCCGCTGAAACTTGCTTCTGCTGAAGAGCTCGGACGGCTGCGGGTCGAAATGGGTGTGCAGCATGTTCATTATGTCGTCGTAAGCCACTTCGCCAGGCTTCTTAGGTGCCACCAATGCTCGCACCGTTTCATAGGTCTTGGCGCCGCATAGGTGAGGAGAAGTGCCCTCTTCTTCGTAACGACAGTTACCCCATTCGCTTCAAAGTAGAAGTTCAGTCGTTCTGCCCACGATGACCACCCGGCGCCGTCGAATTCTTCCAGCTTACCCTGGGTGGCTGGCATCGTGAAGACGTCCGAAGATGCGTGTTCGTTCATTCACTACCTCGTCGCCAGTGTGGAATAACCTTAGCTATGTATACGACCTTAGCTGGGGTAATGACGAGACAGTCATTCGAAGCATCCGAAACGGTCGAGATTGTTTTTTTATGTCTCACGAGAGCGCAGTTGGCTCTCGAGACAAACCCACGCGCTCGTGCGCAGCGCTCGCAGACTTGCCCGCCGGCCGTGTGCCGGTAGATACATCACAGACAACGCGTATCCTGCCTCGGGGCCGCCGCTAGGCCGGCGGCATAGAAACCGTGCGATGGATGCGCTGCCGCCTGTCAGTGCGGGGCGCTCTTTTGAGTCGCTGTCTTCTACGTGTGCGGATCCACATCTAAGTCTGCTCCTGCTCGGCGACGGAGTCGGCCACGTAAGACTGAAGCCGAGAGGGCGGAGACGAAGGCTAGGCGTGCAGAGGCGAAGCGCCACGAGCGGGCCGGGGATCCGATAACGCTATCGCGTCCCAGTCTTAAAGGCGAAGTTTAGGTGTCTTCCGACATTTTGGCCCATTTGTTTTTACAGAAAGAAAGCTACATTTTGTAATTTTTGCACGACGAAACCGACCTCTAAAATACACCTTCGACGAAAAGTTTAGATTGTTACCTGCAGGCGCCGATGTTTTTGCGGCCTATTTTAGATAGAGCCTGGGTATTTTAGACACCCTATTGTTAATATCCAAATATAAATACCTCTAGCCGGCATTCTCGTAAGCCGAATAAATAGCGGTATATCTTCCTTATTCATGCTGGTATTTTTATTATTCAAAACTGGCGCTGCGGCGCTCAGTCAACAGCAGGTTCTGCGGCTTCCTTGGAGGCTTATGTTTCGTGGGCTCCCATAATCTTGAGAAGCCAGTAGCCGGTGGCCATGCCCATTTCCTTCGACAGGGGTATGTGGTTTATGATGCAACCCTGCAATCAGCGATGTTGGTTTCAGCGGGATTTTGCCGTGATATAGCTTCTATAAGAAAGAAACCAAAGAAGGAATGCTTACGCCAACTTCAGTGGCCACGACTTCAGGATCGTGCTTGAATTCCGGTCGGCTTTTCTGTGATGGTTTGGGAAAGAGAATCAATTGTTGGCTTATCTAGTAAATGCTAATTTAATAAAAGTATGCTGAAAGTTTTATGGAGGAAGCTTGAGAATTTAATTTAAACAAAGGGAGCGATAAAGAGAGAGGGGCAGGGGACCAAGCTTTGCGAGGAGCGCAAACTGCTTTTGAGGGTCAGAGGGGGATATAAACAATAGGAAACGGAGTCACTAAAACATGATACAGAATATGCCATAGGTTCACTCACGTAAAATTGTATGAGGTGAGGCCTGACGCACGAGACGAGCTCCTTTCTGTAGTCATCGGGCTTCTAGAATTGAGAAGGAAGCTCACTGCAGTGGACGTTCGGTAGCATGAAGGGCACGTTACTGTTCCCCTTAGAACGGCGACGTAGCTTCGCTACTTTCAGTACTTTTTACACCGTTTTAGTCACTTGTAAACTCAACAATGTTAAGTGTTTTGAATTATTTATTTGTTCCGATAGGTTCTGTTCTTTTTTACAGTTTTACAAAGCGGGTGTAGACTGGCCAGTTCCGTATTTACGCGGATCTATAGGTCGACGTCAACAAAGCCGGAGGATCTACTTTCCTGCAAAGCAAGCCCACAGAAAGCCAATCATTTTTTTTTTCGCGCTGCAAACGGCCAGTAATTGATTGCTTTGGGAGTCGAGAATAATTTCTGGGACGGGACTCCGAGCCCATGGCACTATGCGCAGCGTTGATGTGCAGGCGTGGTGCCTCTTTATTAGCAAAAATCTTCTATAGATCGCGATGAAGGCCACTTTGTGTATTCCGTTAAAAAATAGGCAAGTGGGGCCCTCTCACTGATGCAGGTGAATAAGCCAGGACAAGCTCTTGTCGCAAAAGCCCTTCACTCTTTGCTCTTTAGCAGAGCAAATGCTGAAGTGGAGGCGAGTTGCTCCTCTGCACCTCGCTAGTCTTCGCTCTGCTAAAATGGAAAGAGGGTAGCCCAACGCGTGAGGAGTATTGTCCTTCAGTTTTAAGATGTCACCGAACATTTATCAACTTAGATTCGTGTAAACGTTTAGGGGTCTGCAAATAATTCGAATAATGTCTCGAACTGAATATGTGCTGCATCATTCATAGCTTTCACAATGTGATGTTGAAACTAGAGATGCGACTCCTGTAATAGATTTGGGGCAATGTTCACACACCTTTGGCAGTTAGCATGTCTTTTTAAAGGTATGTATGTACCTCTAAAAGGCTTCAGAGTCTCAGAACCATGTTCCGCGATTGTTAAATACAACAACCTTGCTGCCTGATGAGGCGGGAAGTAACGAGGAGGTCATGTAACAATTCTTTGATGTTCTTTTGGTGTTTTCTATGAGTATGAAGGAGTCAAGCATGCACAACAATTACCGAAGCTAGTGACTCGTGCTTGTCATGGCAGCTGGCGTAGTCCTGGCAGAGAACCTTCATCCCCTGAAACATGTTTATCATGAAATATTAGACACTCCGTTCTGGGGATCATCTATACGAATATCCGAGCGTACTATTAAGCCGTAAACGTAACAATGGTTGTAATGGGACAGTGTTATGCACAGGACGATACACAGACATGCACCTCGTTTTCTTTCTGTTCAATTCTTTCTGTTGGAAGTATACCTATACCAACAGGATCGTTACGAATGTTATACACATTTGTGTCAGAATCACGACGCTAATGTTACTCACATCTGCAATCGTACTCAAGGGAACGGGGTACTTGTCAAGGAGATGAATGCACTGCTTCATCAGTTCGGACGCAATTTGACCCGCCTTCTTCATGGTTTCCTCGTCTGCAACGAGCAATCGTTGATTATTACGACTGAACAGTGTCGAGCATCTTAAAACAACACATTGGTATTTTCAATAGTTTTGTGATCGCCAGTGATTGTTTCTCCGAACAATCCGCAATAAGTAGGCGTACATGCGCAAATGATCACATTGCTTAAAATGCGCCCAGCAGTGCTGTAAATGAAATGTTCCTAACATATATGTTTTCTGATTTGTCATCATCAGCAGAGAGTTTATATACCTTCAACTGGGTTTAGCTACTCATGAGATTTTTTGACGCAGTCCTGAGCTTTTTAGACACGTATATTCGAAGGCAGGGTAATTATGCTTGTGCTGTTTCACGCAGTGCAGATTCACCATCACCCACATTCTTTGGTTATATATTTATCTTCTTCAGCAATGTCGAGCATGATCTATCTTCGGTGATTGCAGCGCACAAACTGGGCGCTTAACCCTAGAAATGCCCCTGCACATGTAGTTTCTCCCCATAGCGCTCGATGAGTTAATCACTGCGATCTACAGCACAGGTTTAGCGCATATCCCGAGAAGTATTTTGTCCGGGAATGCAATCAGCTTGGCGAGACAATGAACATGAGGGACAATGGGCGTATGATGTTTCACTTGCTGATTGTCCCGGCGTATTTCGCGTTTTCAAGTAAAATATTTTTTCGGTTATTCGCTAGATGCGTCCCCCAGATCGCACTACTTGGCTCACCGCGTGCTCTCCGGGAAAGCAGGCATTTTTTTTTTATATTCCGGATCTTGTATAACCAAACCGCAGTAACTTTAGCTGCGTAGCGTCACATATAGCTCAGCAGTTGGACGTCGTGGCAAGAAGACATTTGTTCTTGTTACTGGAAATTCTTCCCTGGGAATTTCAAGGTGATTTTTTTAAAGTGAAATTGAATACTATATATCTCTAGTGCTCCGATTTCGCCTTGTCTACAGCCACTGACAGCTTAAGAAATGTAGCGCTTAGGAAATCTCTAGCATTTTGAAATTGCCCCACAGCCAATGCGATGGCGGCGTTTGCCGATAAGAGCGTAAAATAACCAATCACGAAGCAAGAACCGTGCAGTAAGCTACGCCATCCGCTTCTTAAATTGTCAGCGATTGTAGTTAAAAAAGCACATTAAACTCTTATTACGGCATGCGGCCTTACCAGGTTGTTTTTTGATGCACTCCTGAGCCAGCACTAATGTTGCCAGCCCCAGCAGAAGCCAGGTCGTACGTAGTTGGTTGGCCATCTCTTGGACGCTGGTATGCCGTTCCGTACAGGTGGTGCTTGTGGTAATGAGGCGGGACCTTCCCTCCTTATATAGGGGTCGACCTCTTGCTCGCAACTGGCTCCTCTTGGTACGGACACCAGAAGTCTCTTGAGTAGTGGAACTGGAGTACAGTTCATCATGGGGGCTCGCAGCCCGTGAGCAAACAAGCGTTCTAGATGCATCGGTGCTCGGGTCGACACGTTCATGGCCACTGTCTTCCGTCGGGATGCGCTCGATGACTTCTGTGTTTGTGCAGGAGGCCCAAAAGGACGACTTTCGCGCTGGAAGTGTACGATATTTCGCGTTTGCCTGGCCTTCGTGCTGGATATGCGCGCGTGGATGATATAGCTTTTTTTTTTTTTTGTCCTTTGTTGAAAGTATGTTTTTCTAGCTTGAGGAAGTTAGAAGCGCCGCGAACACGCGCCCTAATCGCGCGGAGAGCGAGAAAAAAAAAAAAACCCTGAAATATGAATTAAAATGAATTTAATTCAGTGCTAGCGTGGCGCAAAACTTTGATTTGCTAAAATCTTCACTAAGGTTTTGTGTTTATTTGGTGTGCCTTTCTTTTCTTCGAATTACGGGGATGTTTTTTTAGGGTTTATATATTCTTATACATAGTATTTTAGGAGTACTTTTTCGGGATTCCATACAAAAGGTGCTTTATAGGGGCGCTTATTGAAGAAAGTAGGACACTGGTATGGGATTCACCAACCTCCAGGTAGCATGCCCGCAATTTGAATACTTGAAAAACGTTCCGGTGCTCGTAAGAGAAAGAAAAAAAAATGATTCCCGAAGAAAGGAGTTTCTCGGACAGTTCACTGGGAAAGTATATTGTAGGTAAATACAAAAAAAAAAACAAAAAACATAAGGAGCTGCGCATATAATTATATGCATATACGTTTTTTTTTGTTTTTTTTTGTGTGAAGCTTAGGTTTCATTTTTCTTTTCATTTAATTGCCTACGCCAATTCGTGATATCCCTTTTTTTTTTTGGGGGGGGGGGGGATTTCTATAAAGCTGGCTCGGGGGGTCAATTTTCGGAGTTTCTGTGAAAAACACGGAATCCTAGAAAAGAGTCAAAGTACAGGCTAGCTAGTGGAAGTCAACCATTTCGTCGTTTACCCTGAGACTGGGGGGGGGGGGGGGGGGGGGTTTGAAGAGCAGAAGTAACAGAAACAGACAGGTCTCAAACTCAGCTACACGTTTATTTCAACAACTTCCTCTTATATAGTTCGTTCTTGTCGTCAACAACCAATCACATACGACTTGTCCTTTGCACCGTGACTTTACAGGTTCCACTCTATCACAAAAGAAGCGGACACTCCCAACGTTTCCTAGTGAAAAGGTTCTAGCAGAAGATATGCCTCACAAAGCTTCAAGCAACTCTTTTGTGTCCTCACAATAAACAGGACAACGGCCCACAACAACATCCCACTCAAAACTGGTCACCTCCAAAATTGTAGAAAACAGACAATACACCACAGACAATACACACCAAAGAAGCCTTTCCGGATGACTAAAAAAAGAAAAAAAAAACAATTAAAAATGTAAAAATTGCTTGCAGCGGTTCCCTATTTGCATCGAAGGTTGACTAATGCAATTTCCCAACGATCTAATCCTAATTGTTTCTCTTACCACCCTTTTAACATCGTTGCTTTCCTTAACAACTACATCCGTTCCAGACCAATCCGTTGTGCAGTTTCTACACTCCTCCAGATGCTTAGCCAACTCCGAATTCGCTGCATTATTTTTAACATTCCTTTTGTGTTCTGTTAAACGATCGTTCAAACACCGAGAGGTTTGGCCTACATACTTAAAACCACACGCCAAAGGAGCCTACGCTACACGGCACCGACTTTTCTCTATGCGCCTTCTGACAGCCCCTCTGAACTGTTTCAAAAGGTGTCAATCTATCTAACCTAAAATCCGTGCTGAATACGGCATCCACGTCATATTTTTTTGCACATGCTCTAAGATTGTGGGACACCTCGTGAAAATACAGAACCACAGCGTACCTATTCCTGATTTCTTGCGTCTTCCCCTTTTTCTCCCTGCACTGTAGGGCAATCTGCCTTTTGATGTATTCTTCCCCATATCCTGCCTTTACCAGTCTTTCCCACTGGTTTTTTAGTGCCTCCGGTCCGAAATGCATGCATGATCTCACCAAAGCATTACTAATCAAAGATCTGGCTTTTACATTTTTCGAGTGACAGCTACTCTTTGACAGAACCGGTTTTGGGTTTTCCTTCCCGAATCCCGGAGAAAAGCTCACCGGAGAAAAGCTCACCGGAGAAAAGCTCACCGGAGATAAGCTCACCGGAGAAAAGCTCACCGCAAAACCGGCGGATGCGGAGAAAAGCTCACCGATTTTTGTTTCTTTTTACATGGAGGCTGTTGGATCATGCGTAACATTTATCAATTTATTATAATTAAAATTCGCCAGCTTTGTAAAAAAGAAAATGTCGTTTTTTGTATTATTTGTTAAGGTTATTTGGTATATTGCTCCCAAATTAATAATTGCGGGCGTGTGTTTTCTGTGGCTTACTCTGTAGGCAACAAAAGCCCAACTAAAAAGTTTATGAACTTAAAGAAGAGGAAAAAGTTCGAAAACAGAATAATGTCTGCCTGAAACGGATCAAAACTGCAAATGTCAAAATCCAAAGTGCATGCGAAACAACGTTGTGCCTGAAATTCTCTTTGAAGCTTTTGTTAACCTTTGAAAACAGGATAAAACAGTCAGTAGGATATCGAGGCTTCTTTCTTCCACGGACATGAACGTTTTCTAGCCGTTCGTGGTGGTGTTTTCACACGTTGCCTTTGTGTGATAGTGCCCTTTTACAGCGAACCACCCATGACCTTCAAAGGTGCACACTGGCACCGTTGTTACTCGTGACCTATATAAGTGCTCTTCTGTAAGGTAGCGAATAGGGCGAGTTGGTAAACGTTATACATGATGAAAACCACTCAAACGACGACGACGAAGTGAAGATAACAAACACGACAGGACAAATCTGTTCTCGCAGCTAAAGTTTGGCTAGTGAAATGAACAGAAAGAAAACAGCGTAGCCGACACCGATTACATTAACAAACACATACTTATCTATTAGGCAGTACACAATATTTGGAACTGAAACGGTTCCCACACCGCTATTCACGTTAGCTCGCAAAAGAAAAACCTCCTTATTTGACAGAACTATACCGACGGCACACTGCCAGTTGACAGTAAATTGTTGCCTTTTTTTACCGGTGTACGATGTTCTGATTTTATACTTGAAGCTTCATTAATATACAAACAGGGTGATTACTAATTTCTGATGAATTAGTAAATATGTCCAATGAACTTCAAGACTATTACACAAAAGTGGTCATATTTTTAATCAAGTGACGATTGCGAATTATGTTAAATTGCAACGTTTAACGCAAAATCCGCTAAGTTAAACAAAAAAAAATCGGTGAGCTTTTCTCCGCATCCGCTCAAAGGCCGGTGAGCTTTTCTCCGGTGAGCTTTTCTCCGGTGAGCTTTTCTCCGCCGCCCTTCCTTCCCATACTCCCAACAAAGACCTCGTTCCAAATGTAAACGCAGGTCGAGAAATTGCAGGACCTCGCCCCTTGGCCTCTCTAACGTGAATCTCAACTCTGGCGCCGCTGACCTTACTACTTGTTCTAAAACTTGGTCCAATCCTTCCTGAACAGAGCAAACTAAAATATCATCCACAAATCTTTTCAC